CACACCAGCTCCCAGCCCCTCCCCCCTTAACGCTCAGGGGCCAGGCAGCCCCGCCCAGCCCCATTCACACCTTGGGGGAGGGGCAATTGATACGCTCAGGTGCCAGGTAGCCCCGCCCAGCCCCATTCAGGCCTTGGGGGAGGGGCGATTGATACACACACACGCCCCTCCCCCCACTCACTGCATCAGCCTTCCGGGTTAGTGCACAGGGAGGGGGGCTGGGAATCAGGACCCCTGGGGGCTCTCCCGGGAGGCCTTGGGGGAGGGGCGATTGATACACACACACGCCCCTCCCCCCACTCACTGCATCAGCCTTCCGGGTTAGTGCACAGGGAGGGGGGCTGGGAATCAGGACCCCTGGGGGCTCTCCCGGGCTCAGGGAGGGGAGTGGGATCTACTGGTTAGAGCAGGGAGGGAGGCTGGGAGCCAGGACCCCTGGGGGCTCTCCCGAGCTCAGGGAGGGGAGTGGTGTCTAGTGGTTAGAGCTGGCATCAATACACTGGACCCCCGCCCAGGGAGGAGAACGGAGCCTGCGATCTGGCCCCCTGGGGGCTCGGCCGCATCCTGGCGATAAGCGAACAGCTGGAGTTCATTTCCGGCTCAGGCTGCCCCCTCCCCCCTCCCGGGGTACGTGGCCGGGGGGGGGCACAGACCAAGTTGCGCAAGAGAAGCGAGAGTTTAGAAGCTGCCCAGCTCGGCCAGTTTCTGGAGGGGGGAGAGGCAGGAGGGGCTGGCGCAGACTCCCCCGCCCGGAGTCCGGAGAAGGCAGCCGGCCCCACCCCCGAGCCAGCCGCATCCCAGCGCCACCCACAGGCCTGGCTGAGAGCCAGAGCTGCTGCCTTGGCCGGCCCCTCGCTCCCAGCTGCCTGCAGCCGGCTGGGGCTCCAGCTAAGGGCAGCAGCTGTTTCTCCTGGCAGGGCCCCTGCAGTGACTTGTCCCCCTCCCGAAATACCAAAGAGATGCAGCTTCGGGCCCATGGCTCCCTAGCGCCAGAGCAGCCAGCCCCCTCCCCCATCTAAC